GCCGTCCATAAATGACGTCACGCGATTTTGGACGATTTTTCACCCCTCACTCTCGTCACACGGCGTCACAAAAAGGTCAGACCCCCCTCAAATGACGTCACAAAGCTCTGCCCCCCCCCCCCAAAACCATATTTCCATTTTGAAAATAAAACATGCTTCAAAACGCTTTAAACTATCGTCATTGTAGTGCGTATTTAATGTGGCGCTGCACTCTGATGTTGTAGGAGTGCTGTTATAACAATTCTATATTTATTTAAAGTTGCGCATTTTGACGTGACGTCACATTTCTCAACGCCCCACCCCCCTTCTCGTCACACATCGTCACAAAGGAATCCATCCATAACCTTTGGTTCTTTCGGTAAAGTCACGTAGGTAAAGAGCTTTTTTAAAAAAAAAATTAATCAACGACGTTTCGGACACAACACAAGCGTCCGTCATCAGGTGGGACAACCACAGCAACAAAAAAATCAGTTGCTGAAATTAAAAAATATTTTTTAAAAATATATTTTTAAAAAACCCGTCGTAAAGTGGCTGAAATCATCATCATCACACGGAGAGGGAGAGAGAGAGAGACACGCAAACTCCAAATATACAGCAGCAGCAGGCGTGGGCGAGGTAGTCAATATCTCCTAGCCACCGTGATGATGATGATGAGAGAGAGAGACAGGCAAACTCCAAATAAACAGCAGGGGTCAGGGTTGGGATGTAACCCACGACCTCCTGTGTACCAGGCGAGGTAGTCAACATCTCCTAGCCACCGTGATGATGATGATGAGAGACGCAGACTCCAAAAATACAGCAGCAGCAGAAGGCGTCGTCAAGTTCGGGATTGAACCCACGGCCTCCTGTACACCAGGCGAGGTAGTCAACATCTCCTAGCCACCGTGATGATGATGATGATGAGAGAGACACGCAAACTCCAAATATACAACAGTGGTCAGGGTTGGGATGTAACCCACGACCTCCCGCACACCAGGCGAGGTAGTCAACATCTCCTAGCCACCGTGATGATGATGAGAGAGAGAGACGCAGACTCCAAATCTACAGGAGCAGCAGAAAGCGTCGTCAGGGTCGTGATCGAACCCACGACCTCCTGCATACCAGGCGAGGTAGTCAACATCTCCTAGCCACTGTGATGATGATGATGAGAGAGAGACACGCAAACTCCAAATACAGCAGCAGCAGCAGGTGTCAGGGTCATGATCGAACCCACGACCTCCTGTATACCAGGTGAGGTACTTAACATCTCCTAGCCATCGTGATGATGATGAGAGCGAGAGAGCCACACAAGCTCCAAATATACAGCAGGAGGTGTCAGGGGTCAGGATCGAACCCACGACCTCCTGCATAATAGAAATTAAAATTAATTCCAACCAAGATTGAAAGATATTATATGAGAAAAGCAAGGTCTGTTCCGAAACTGGGAGACATCTTCCGAAATTGAAAGATAACTTCCGAAAAATGTTTTAATATATCTTAATCTTGGTTCTTTCGGTAAAGTCACGTAGAAGGGAAACAATAAAATAAAAAATATAATTTTTATTTTTTTATTACATATTATTTTATTGTTTCCCTTCTACCTGACTTTATATATTTTATTGTTTCCCTTCTACGTGACATTACCGGGAAGAAATAAAATAATAAATATATTTTTATTCTTTTATTGTTTTAAATCAAAACTGAATATATAACTTCTGAAGCTAGAAGATATCTTCCGAAATAGGAAGTTATCTACCGAAACGAGTAGACTTCTTCCTATACTGAAATATATCTTCCGAAATAGGAATAAATCCTCTGAATCAAGAAGATATCTGCCGAAACTGGAAGATATCTTCCGGAAGATTAAAATCAAAACACGCGTCACTCGTACGTCACGAGACCACGTCAGACGATCCGGGTTGGGCGGTACCATTCTTACGGTGGTGAGGGGGGGGGAATGTTTTTTAACATCTAAATCCAACTATATTTCAGCATAATAAAAAATATACAAAAGCATACGAAAATAATTTTCCAAAAGTTAAAAACAACTTTTGTGTGTGTTTGTATATTTGTTATGCGTGTATTGTGCTTATAAATAGATTTTTTTAAAATATTTTTTTAAATATATGCGTGCCAATGGTATTACACCCTCCAGACCCCCCCGTCGCTCCCACCCGCAAATGGTTTAGCCCAAAGTACAGTGCACATCACGCGAGTTGTAAAGTTGAAAGAGGACCTTCGCTTGGGGTACAGTTCGCTTTGATTTTCCACAAAAATGTTTGCGTTGTTGCATTAAAAGTTAACAAAAAAAACTAATTTTTTTTAAACCTTTACGAGTTAACAGACGCCAAATCCGGTTGGCCGTGCGCGTCAAGTCGCGTTTTAAATATCGACTGCTCAACAAGGATTGATTTTGAACGCTTTTATTGTGGGGTTATGATAGCGCCAAATTGGGGGAGAGACAAAGGCGGCCGGGCGTGGTGGTGCTGATCACCCACCCCCCCTCGTGTAACCACAGCGCCCGGTAGCTTTCATAGGCGCTGTTCGCTAACAGCACTTGCCCCTACAGCCTGTTAGAGGCTTCACGGGGGATCTTTGTCTGTGTATAGGTGCTGCTGCTACTCGCTAACAGCACTTGCCCCTACAGCCTGTTAGAGGCTACACGGGGGATCTTTGTCTGTGTATAGGTGCTGCTGCTACTCGCTAACAGCACTTGCCCCTACAGCCTGTTAGAGGCTACACGGGGGATCTTTGTCTGTGTATAGGTGCTGCTGCTACTCGCTATCAGCACTTGCCCCTACAGCCTGTTAGAGGCTACACGGGGGATCTTTGTCTGTGTATAGGTGCTGATGCTATTCGCTACTAACAGCACTTGCCCCTACATCCTGTTAGAGGCTACACGGGGGATCTTTGTCTGTGTATAGGCGCTGCTGCTGCTACTCGCTAACAGCACTTGCCCCTACAGCCTGTTACAGGCTACACGGGGGATCTTTGTCTGTGTATAGGCGCTGCTGCTGCTACTCGCTAACAGCACTTGCCCCTACAGCCTGTTACAGGCTACACGGGGGACCTTTGTCTGTGTATAGGTGCTGCTGCTACTCGCTAACAGCACTTGCCCCTACAGCCCTGTTAGAGGCTACACGGGGGACCTTTGTCTTGTTTTGTTAGTAAGTGCACCTAGCCTGGCACAAACACCCAGTGACGACTGTCTGAACCGGTCACGGTGCTTCCCCTAGGTCGACTCGGCCTCAAATTAGTTACCTGCGCTGTCCTCCAGACAGCCTGATCCCTTCACCTGATGAAGGCCGCTTGTGTTGTGGCCCGAAACGTCGTGATTTTTTTTTTTTACCTACTACGTGACTTTTCCGAATAGAACCAAAGAGTGTGGATCCTTGCAGTCACGAAAGCTTCAAATCTAGGACTGCGCCGTAACTGGGTTCGTTCCGTCTTCATTTCAGACGCTTCGAGTTGCTTCAACGTCCAAGCGCCCTTCAAGGGCCCTTCGCCGCCGGAGCAAGTCAACTTTTCAAGCGTCACGTGATCGAGGATGAACGCCAACACCGTCGGCTAACTCGAGGGCGACCTGACCTCGGTCGAATCGCTTCGGTTCGCTTAGACACCAACGGCCGCTGGCCCCGACAGCTCACCATGCACCCGCTCGCCCACCCGCTCGCCCACCCGCTCGCCCACCCGCTCGCCCACCCGCTCGCCCACCCGCTCGCCCACCCGCTCACCTACGCGCGCCAACAATACTCCTTTATCTTGCTCTCTGCCCGACCTCCCACACCTGGTTAAAACAAAAACAACTTGAACTTTGACCTCACCCGCTCACCCACCATCTCACCCGTCCACTCGCCCGCTCACCCAACATCTCATCCATCCACTCGCCCATCCACTCGCCCGCTCACCGACCATCTCGCCCATCCACTCGCCCGCTCACCCACCATCTCACCCACTCACCATCTCACCCATCCACTCACCCACCCACCATCTCACCCACCCACCCACCATCTCACCCACTCACCCATCCACCATCTCACCCACTCACCCAGCCACCATCTCACCCACCCACCATCTCACCCACTCACCCATCCACCATCTCACCCACTCACCCATCCACCATCTCATCCACTCACCCATCCACTCGCCCGCTCACCGACCATCTCGCCCGCTCACCGACCATCTCGCCCATCCACTCGCCCGCTCACCCACCATCTCACCCACTCACCATCTCACCCATCCACTCGCCCACCCATCATCTCACCCACCCACCCACCATCTCACCCACCCACCCACCATCTCACCCACCCATCCACCATCTCACCCACTCACCTACCCACCATCTCACCCACCCACCATCTCACCCACTCACCCATCCACCATCTCACCCACTCACCCACCCACCATCTCACCCACTCACCCACCCACCATCTCACCCACTCACCCACCCACCATCTCTATCCTGCGCTGTTATTGCCTTCCCACACCTGATTACAACAAAATCAACTTGGGACTGGACTGACCCCGTGCCCCCTGCTGGACATCTGCAATGTGAAAACAAAGAGCTTCATAGCTCATCAGATTCCTCATCCAGTGGAGACTAAAGATTCGGATTCTCAGCAACCATAGCACCGCCACTCCTCCGCTCCCGCTCCCACCACCCGTGAACGTCGCTACCACCACCGCCACCACCGGCACCACCGCCACCGGCACCACCAACACCGGCACCACCAGCAGCACCAGCAGCACCACCACCAGCAACACCACTAGCAACACCACCACTACTGCCACCACTCCCACCGGCACCAGTTGCACCGCCAACACCGGCACCAGCTGCACCGCCAACACCGGCACCACCGCCACCAGCACCACCACCAGCAACACCACCAGCAACACCACCAGCAGCACCACCAGCAACACCACCACTACCGCCGCCACCGGCACCACCGCCAACACCGCCAACACCGGCACCACCGCCAACACCCGCACAGCCAACGCCACCAGCGGCACCGCGATGCCGCCGCCGCCGCCGCCGGTGCCGCCGTGGTGCCGCCGCGTTGGCCGCGTGTCGCGCCGCTGCCTCGTCACGGCCCTCGTCCTGCCCCTCGTCCTCGTCGCCGTGTGGCTCACACTGCCCTCCTCCTCCTCCTCGCTCTCCTCCTCCTCCTCCTCCTCCTCCTCGTCGTCGTCGTCGGCACTGTCGTCGTTCCTGCTGGCGCTGAGCGGCCGCCGCCGCCACCACCACCACCAACGCCACCGCCACCACCACCGCGGTCGGCAGGAGCCCGACCCGGGCCCCGTCTGGTCGGCGGCGAGGGGCCACGCGGCCGGCTTCGCGATGCGCGGCCGCCGCCCCTCCATGGAGGACCGCTTCACCATCGGCTCGCGCGTCTACGCTACGCCGGGCGGCTACGGCTACGGCTACGGCGGTGGCTACGGCTACGGCGGCGAAGGAGGAGGAGAAGATTACGACGACGATGACGGCGGTGGTGGCGGAGGAGGAAGTGACGTCACCGGTGGCCGTGCCGGCGGCGATGATGATGACGATGATGATGACGACGAGGACAGGAACAGCACCCACAGGATTTACGGCATCTTTGACGGCCACGGGGGAGAGGTGCGTCTGTGTGTGTGTGTCTGTGTGTGTCTGTGTGTGTGTGTGTCTGTGTGTGTGTGTCTGTGTGTGTGTGTGTGTCTGTGTGTGTGTGTCTGTGTGTGTCTGTGTGTGTGTGTGTCTGTGTGTGTGTCTGTGTGTGTGTCTGTCTGTGTGTGTGTGTGTCTGTGTGTGTGTGTGTCTGTGTGTGTCTGTGTGTGTGTGTGTCTGTGTGTGTGTGTGTCTGTGTGTGTCTGTGTGCGTGTGTGTGTGTCTGTGTGTGTGTCTGTGTGTGTGTCTGTGTGTGTCTGTGTGTGTGTGTGTCTGTGTGTGTGTGTGTGTCTGTGTGTGTGTGTGTCTGTGTGTGTGTCTGTGTGTGTGTCTGTATGTGTGTGTCTGTGTGTGTGTGTGTCTGTGTGTGTGTGTGTCTGTGTGTGTGTCTGTGTGTGTCAGTGTGTGTGTGTGTGTGTCTGTGTGTGTGTGTGTGTCTGTATGTGTGTGTCTGTGTGTGTGTGTGTCTGTGTGTGTCTGTGTGTGTGTGTCTGTGTGTGTGTGTGTGTGTCTGTGTGTGTCTGTGTGTGTGTGTGTGTCTGTGTGTGTGTCTGTGTGTGTGTGTCTGTGTGTGTCTGTGTGTGTGTGTGTCTGTGTGTGTGTGTCTGTGTGTGTGTGTGTCTGTGTGTGTGTGTCTGTGTGTGTCTGTGTGTGTGTGTGTCTGTGTGTGTGTCTGTGTGTGTGTCTGTCTGTGTGTGTGTGTGTCTGTGTGTGTGTGTGTCTGTGTGTGTGTCTGTGTGTGTCAGTGTGTGTGTCTGTGTGTGTCTCTGTGTGTGTGTGTGTGTGTCTGTGTGTGTCTGTGTGTGTGTCTGTGTGTGTGTGTGTGTCTGTGTGTGTCTGTGTGTGTGTGTGTCTGTGTGTGTGTGTGTGTCTGTGTGTGTGTGTGTCTGTGTGTGTGTCTGTGTGTGTGTCTGTATGTGTGTGTCTGTGTGTGTGTGTGTCTGTGTGTGTGTGTGTCTGTGTGTGTGTCTGTGTGTGTCAGTGTGTGTGTGTGTGTGTCTGTGTGTGTGTGTGTGTCTGTATGTGTGTGTCTGTGTGTGTGTGTGTCTGTGTGTGTCTGTGTGTGTGTGTCTGTGTGTGTGTGTGTGTGTCTGTGTGTGTCTGTGTGTGTGTGTGTCTGTGTGTGTGTGTGTCTGTGTGTGTCTGTGTGCGTGTGTGTGTGTCTGTGTGTGTGTCTGTGTGTGTGTCTGTGTGTGTCTGTGTGTGTGTGTGTGTCTGTGTGTGTGTGTGTCTGTATGTATGTGCGTGTGAGTGAGTGATTGCAAGGTTCACCGTGCCCCAGGTGATTGCTGTAGGCATAGGGAAGAATTCACGTTTGTGCGCAAAAATCTCGAAAATCCAGAACTCTCCCATCGCGACGGTTTACCGGACACACCATCAAAAGCGTTTGTATATTTTAGTAATTACTTCAATTTGGTTTCATTTGATTGTTTTCATGCTTACGTATTTGTAGCGAGTTCAACAGAGTCGCAGACATAATCTTTGGAGGCAAACTGGAGTCGAAGCTTTCACGGCTGCAGGAATTACCCTTTAATTCCGTCGGTAAAGTCACGGAGAATTTAATGTAATTAAATAATAATGATGGGATACGACGTTTCGATTGCAACACAAGCGACCATCATCAGGTACAAATGAATGAGAAAACAATAACTAGTAAACTTGGAAATGAAATGCAATACAACACAGAGAGTCGGCTAACGTAACAGTCAACACCCCACCTGGTTGATTCTGTTCCTCCAAAGATTGAGAAATTTGAGAGAGAGAGACACACACACACAGAGACACACAAGCAGAGAGAGACTCACACAGAGACACACAGACAGACACAAACATAGAGACACACAGACACACACAGAGACACACAAGCAGAGAGAGACTCACACAGAGACACACAGACAGACACACACATAGAGACACACAGACACACACAGAGACACACAAGCGGAGAGAGACTCACACAGAGACACACAGACACACAAGCAGAGAGAGAGACACACACAGAGACACACACACACAGACATACACACACAGAGACACACAGAGACACACACACAGACACACAGACACACACATAGACACACACAGACACACACACAGAGACACACACACAGAGAGACACACACAGAGACACATACACACAGACACACACACACAGACACACACACAGACACACAGACACACACACACAGACACACAGAGACACACACACAGACACACACACACAGACACACACACACAGAGACACACACACAGACACACACACACACAGACACACACACAGACACACACACACACACAGACACACACACACAGACACACAGAGACACACCCACCAGACACACACACACAGACACACACAGAGACACACACAGACACACACACACAGACACACACACACAGAGACACACACACACAGAGACACACACAGACACACACAGAGACACACACACACAGAGACACACACAGACACACACACACACAGAGAGAGACTCACATGCCGATATTTTCGTTCACTTTTCCCTCCCCCCGCGCGCCCGTCTCAGGCCGCGGTCGACTTTGTGTCGCGGACGCTGCCGCGGAGGCTGCGGGCGCTGCTGGCGGCGGCCCCCCCGGGGCAACCGGACGGCGCGGAGCTGCGGGCTCTGCTGGCGCGCGAGATCCTCGCCACGGACGCCGCTCTGCTGCGGCATCTCAGCGCCATCGGCGGGGACGAATCCGGTGAACGCTCGCCAGCCCCATGGGCTCACCAGCCCCATGGGCTCACCAGCCCCATGGGCTCACCAGCCCCACGCGCTCACCAGCCCCACTCACCAGCCCACACGCTCACCAGCCCACACACTCACCAGCCCACGCACTCACCAGCCCACGCACTCACCAGCCCACACACTCACCAGCCCACACACTCACCAGCCCACACGCTCACCAGCCCACACACTCACCAGCCCACACACTCACCAGCCCACACACTCACCAGCCCACACACTCACCAGCCCACACGCTCACCAGCCCACACACTCACCAGCCCACACACTCACCAGCCCACACACTCACCAGCCCACACGCTCACCAGCCCACACACTCACCAGCCCACACACTCACCAGCCCACACACTCACCAGCCCACACACTCACCAGCCCACGCACTCACCAGCCCACGCACTCACCAGCCCACGCACTCACCAGCCCACACACTCACCAGCCCACACACTCACCAGCCCACACACTCACCAGCCCACACACTCACCAGCCCACGCACTCACCAGCCCACGCACTCACCAGCCCACGCACTCACCAGCCCACACACTCACCAGCCCACACACTCACCAGCCCCACGCGCTCACCAGCCCACACACTCACCCCCACGCGCTCACCCCCACGCGCTCACCAGCCCACACACTCACCCCCACACACTCACCAGCCCACACACTCACCCCCACGCGCTCACCAGCCCCACACGCTCACCCCCACACACTCACCCCCACGCGCTCACCAGCCCCACGCGCTCACCAGCCCACACACTCACCAGCCCACACACTCACCAGCCCACACACTCACCAGCCCACACACTCACCAGCCCACACACTCACCAGCCCACACACTCACCAGCCCACACACTCACCAGCCCACACACTCACCAGCCCACACACTCACCAGCCCACACACTCACCAGCCCACACACTCACCAGCCCACACACTCACCAGCCCACACACTCACCAGCCCACACACTCACCAGCCCCACGCGCTCACCAGCCCACACGCTCACCAGCCCCGCTCACCAGCCCCGCTCACCTCCCCCCCCCCCGCTCACCCCAGGGTCGACGTGTGTGCTGGCGGTGGTGAGCGGCGACTCGCTCACCGTGGCGAGCGTGGGAGACTCGAGGGCGGTGGTGAGCGATGGGGCCGGCCGTGCGGTGCAGCTCACCACCGAGCACAAGCCGTACCTCCCCGCTGAGCGCAGGCGTATACAGCGCGCCGGTGAGCGGGTGGGCGGGGGTGAGGGTGAGTGGGTGGGTGAGTGGGTGAGTGGGTGGGTGAGTGGGTGAGTGAGTGAGTGAGCGTAATGGGTGAGTGGGTGGGTGAGTGAGTGAGTTAGTGTGAGTGGGTGGGTGAGTGAGTGTGGGTGAGTGAGTGAGCGTAGTGGGTGAGTGGGTGAGTGAGTGAGTGAGCGTAGTGGGTGAGTGGGTGGGTGGGTGAGTGAGTGAGTGTGAGTGGGTGGGTGAGTGTGGGTGAGTGAGTGAGCGTAGTGGGTGAGTGAGTGAGTGAGCGTAGTGGGTGAGTGGGTGAATGAGTGAGTGGGTGAGTGAGCAAAGCAACCCCCTACCTCCTCGCGGTGCCGGACGGGCAACTCTGTCGTGGACAGTGCTGTGGGGGGAGGGGCCAATTCCGATTGGCTCCTCCCCTCATGGCGTTTGTGACCACCACAGTGGTTAAACGGGGGCTCTGGACGTGTGCGAGGGGCTGGTAACCCCTCCACCTTCAAAAAATTAGCACTAAACCACAAATAAAATATGTAACTAATAAGCTTGTGCCTGAGGCCCCGGGGGGACAGGCGTCTATGACGTCTCCTGGCCAAACCCCATTTGGCGGAGCCAGGAGATTGAATCTCTACCCTCGGGGCTCCTCCAGAAACAACGAAAAGCCACTACGGATGGCCACGTGGAATGTTCGAACGCTCACTGCGGAGGAGAGGCTGCCACTCCTCTGTCGGGAGCTGGACCGGTACCGCCTGGATCTCTGTGGCATTCAGGAGGTCCGGTGGACCGGTTCTGGCTCCTGCCACCATGAGGGGTGGACAGTCCTCTACTCGGGGCAGCAGACTGCCAAACAACAGTGTGTGGCTCTTCTTTTGAACAAAAGAATGAAGGGGGCGTGGGAGCGTGGCGGTGAGGTGTGGGAAGCTGTAAGCCCCTGGCTACTTTGGGCTCGCCTTCCCATCAACGGGAGGCGAGGAGTGGTGGTCGTGGTTACTTATACCCCCACCGAAGACGAACATCCGTGGAGGAATGCAGGCAAAGCTGATGAGTCAGATGCCTTCTATGACCTCCTGTCACAGGTGCTTGCTAAAGTGGCCCCTCGGGATAGAGTCATCTTGTTGGGTGACTTCAATGCCCGAGTGGGTCATGATGCTGGCACCTGGTCTGGGGTGATTGGAGGGCATGGGCCAGGTCAGCTCAATAACAACGGTAGGAGGCTGCTAGATTTTTGTGCAGCCCATGGGCTTGTAATTACCAACACGCTGTTCCGGCATCGGCGCATCCGCACAACATCATGGATGCATGCAGGGTCCAAGCAAGAACATCTGCTGGACTACATAGTGATGGGACAGCGGATGCGAGCCCATGTCCTTGACACCAGGACCTACCGTGGAGCTGATCTGCCCTTTGACCATCGACTTGTCATCTGTAAGATGCGCCTGCCATTCTTCCACACCGGTGGTGGGTGTACACCCAGGACCCCATTCCAACCTAAAGTGGCCTGGTCTCAGTTATCTGATGAAAGTTGCAAGCGAGAATTTCATCATCGCTTGCGGCTGGGGTTGGCATCGTCCCCCACTCCTCCTGATGTCGAGGGTAAATGGGCGAGGTTTAGGACTGTGACTCATGCAGCTGCAATGGCTGCTTTTGGTACGCGGTCCAGACCTCCGCAGAGACCCTGGCTGACAGAGGAGGCGTTCAGGATGGTTGAGAAAAAGCAACAGGCCCACTGTCATCGGCTACAGAATCCCACGTCAGAGAATGAGGAGGCTTACCGCAGCCTTCGCTCGGAGGTTCGGAAAGCCGTGAGGCGCTGCCAGGATGGGTGGTGGTCGCGGGTTGCTGAGGAGATGGAGTCTGCTTCAGTGGCCCGCGATCACAAAACTCTATTTAACTCCATCAAAAAAGTAACCTGCAGCGCCACACCTGTTACCATCAGGGGAAAAAGCGGTGATCCAATCTCCGACCCCCAGGAACAGGTTTGCAGATTTGCTGAGAATTTCTGTGAGGTCCTGGGGGAAGGAAAATCCCTCAATCAGGAAAACGTGGCACAAAGTGAGGATGACCCTGCTGAGGCTGCGGTACCTCAAATATTGGCTGGCTGAATGCGATCCGGAGTCTGAGACCAGGAAAAGCAGCGGGCAGATATGATCTCCCAAGTGAAATGCTGATGGAGGGTGGCGTTTGTGCACAGACTGCCCTATATGACATCATAACAACAGTCTGGACCACTGGACGGGTTCCGCAGGTTTGGAAGGATGCCCTGGTGGTTCCCCTCTTTAAGAAGGGGACCGCACAGACTGTAACAACTACAGGGGCATCTCACTCCTCAGTGTGCCGAGAAAGGTCCTGGCAAGGATTATTCAACATCGCCTTGCCAGTCACGCTGAGGAGAGGCTTGCGGAGCCCCAATGCGGTTTCAGGAAAGGGCGGTCCTGCACAGATGCCATATTTTCTGTCCGTCTGCTACAGCAGAGGTGTAGGGAATTCCAACAAGACCTACATCTCTGCTTTATTGACCTGGTCAAGGCCTATGATACCATCAGTAGGCATGGGCTCTAGTTGTTCTTCGTGCTTTTGAAGTCCCTGACCCTCTGCTCACGATCATTAAGGACCTTCATGATGGTGAGCGGGCCCGGGTAAAACTACGTGGCCGGGAGTCCGAGCCTTTCCCTGTACACCTTGGGGTGCGACAGGGATATCCTCTGGCTCCCACATTTTTTTACATCTATTTCGACCACGTAGTTCGTGAAGCCTTCAATAGCTGTACCGGGGGAATCTCCATATGGTACAGATATAATGGGAGGCTGATCGATGCCCGGGTGCGGTCAAGGGATGGCTCCCTATTGCTCAACCACGTTATGTATGCTGATGATTTGGTAATAGCTGCTCATTCAGAGGAGGAGTTGGAGACGCTGCTGCTGAGACTGAAGCGTGCCACTAAGAGATGGGGCCTTACCATCAGCCCCACCAAAACTAAGCACCTGCCTGGGTATTTTGTACCATCGGACACTCCACCCCCACAACTCCCAATCGGTGATGGGGCAGTTGTGGAGAGAGTGGAGAGTTTCCCATACCTGGGAAGTGTGCTTATGACCGGCTCCAGTTTAACAGCAGAGGTCTCACTCCGAATCAGTCGAGCGGCAATATCTTTTCATCGGTTGCGTAACGCTGTGTGGAAGCTACCTGGTCTGTCGCTCCGCACTAAGCTTCGGGTCTTCTCGGCCACGGTCATTCCCTCCCTTCTCTACGCTTGCGAAACGTTGACCCCCCTAATGGAACATCTTCGCCGGTTAGAAACATTTAGGCTGGCCTGCCTACGATCCATCCTGGGTTTAACCAGACTGGATTGTGTGAGGAGCTCACAAATCCTTGAAAGATCTGGGCAAGGTCCCATCGGTGAGCTCCTCCGGCGGGCAAGGCTGCGATGGCTGGGTCATGTAGCCCGCATGCCCAGCCACCGCATGCCGAAACAGCTTTTGTTCAGCCGGATCGAGGGGGCTAAGCGGGTGCGGCATGGGCTAGAGAAGAGATGGAGTGATGTAGTACAGGAGGACGTGGAGCTGAGTGGACTTGCCGATGACTGGTACCAGCGGTGTCAAGATCGGCCTCTGTGGAGGAGGCTCGTGAAGGACGCTACTGGGCAGTTGGAGGTAGTCGCCCTCCAACAACAACGGTGGGCGGAGGAGCGACGCTCACAACAACGAGCGGAGCGCCGGGTGGCTAAAGCACAGCAGGTTGGCACAGTAGGGGGCACAGGTGGTGCATCAGTCGGTCATCTCAGTCAGTCGACCTGTGGCACCTAGGTCTGCCCCGTGACCTCCTGCCAGCGGGCGTTCGGCACTCCACGTGGCCTCAAGGTGCACATGTCCTGGCACAAGCGTTGTGGTGACGTCACCGCCACTTAGTGGCGAATGGCGGTTGTTGTTGAGTGTGAGTGGGTAAGTGAGTGAGTGGGTGAGTGAGTGGGTGAGTGAGCATGAGTGAGCGTGGGTGAGTGAGTGTGAGTGGATGAGTGAGTGAGTGGGTGAGTGCGTGAGTGGGTGAGTGAGCGTCAGTGTGAATGGTGGGTGAGTGAGTGTGAGTTGGTGAGTGTGAGTGGGTGAGTGAGCGTGAGTGAGTGAGTGAGCATGAGGGAGTGAGCGTGAGTTAGTGAGTGTGAGTGGGTGAGTGAGTGAGTGTGAGTGGGTGAGTGAGTGTGAGTGGGTGAGTGAGTGAGTGAGCGTGAGTGGGTGAGTGAGTGAGTGAGCGTGAGTGAGTGAGTGAGCGTGAGTGGGTGAGTGTGAGTGGGTGAGTGAGCGTGAGTGGGTGAGTGAGTGAGTGAGTGTGAATTGTGGGTGAGTGTGGGTGAGTGAGTGAGTGTGAGTGGGTGAGTGAGCGTGAGTGAGTGGGTGTGAGTGGGTGTGAGTGGGTGAGTGGGTGAGTGGGCGAGTGAGTGAGTGTGAGTGAGTGTGGGTGAGTGAGTGTGAGTTGGTGAGTGATGATGATGAGAGAGACACGCAGACTCCAAATATGCTGCAGGTATCATGGTCAGGAGTGAACCCACGACCTCCTGCGTACCAGGCGAGGTAGTCAACACGTAGCAGGAGGAGGAGTCTTTCACGACCAATATCCATCATGTTGTGTCGTTCAACCCGCCACCACCCGACACAGCCGATCGCTAAGGGGGTTTGTGTCACGTAAACAGAACGTGGCCAAATCCGTTGCTCGTACAGCACACAACACCGGTTTTCGTTTGCTGGAGAGTTGAACCCGCGGCTGCAACATTTACAATGCGAGTAGCCGTGACGTTCCGCCGGTAACGATGCAGTGGTTTTCACTGGAGACGCACACTTGACTTTGGGGGCAACACGCTTATTTTAAGACCACAACGGGGTAACTACGTAACCGGGTCAGGTCAGTAACACACCGCCTGACCCACGATGCCGAGCGTGACGACCGAGGCCCGAAGATCGAAGAGACGTTGAACGGCGGGGTTCATGCCACAAGACAGCCCCGATCGGCTCACGGGACCCTCCCTCTTATGCCCCTGAGCTTGGCCTGGCTCCGCCCTCGGCCACGCACCCCTTCTGGATCCTACCAGAAGGACCTGGGCCGTACGCCGCGTGTCCCTCTCGCCTGGCTCCGCCATCGGCCACGCCCCCTTCTGGATCCTACCAGAAGGTTCTGGGCCATACGCCGCGTGTCCCTCTCGCCTGGCTCCGCCCTCGGCCACGCCCCCTTCTGGATCCTGCCAGAAGGACCTGGGCCGTACGCCGCGTGTCCCTCTCGCCTGGCTCCGCCCTCGGCCACGCCCCCTTCTGGATCCCACCAGAAGGACCTGGGCCATATGCCGTGTGTCCCTCTCGCCTGGCTCCGCCCTCGGCCACGCCCCCTTCTGGATCCTACCAGAAGGTTCTGGGCCATACGCCGCGTGTCCCTCTCACCCCCTCTTGGCCCCTCCCTCGTTATCCTGTCCTGGTGACGTGCCCTCTCGGGTTCACCCCAGACTGTCACGTCCTCAGCTGCCCTCTCTCCGACGGTCACCAGAACCATGCCCCCCCCGGGCCCCCCCTTCCATGCCATACATGGAAGGGGGGGCTCGAGGTTATAAGACGCACAGCGACTCTGCCAGTCGCTGGCGCTCATGCCGTAGTGACTTAATATGTCACAACAACAACGACCACCCCCCCGACACCCCCAAATCTCTCAACCCCCCTCACCCTCCCAACCCCCCCCCCCCCACCCTCCCAACCCCGCCCACACCTCCCACCCCCCACACCTCCCCACACCCCCCCCCACTACTCCCCCCCCCCCCCCCCCCCGTGCCGGGCGACTTCACCCAGCTGAGCGGCGTTTGTTGGATAGTTCACCACCACCGCACGCTCTCACCCCCCCCCCCCCCCCCCCCACTCCCACCGTGTGTGTGTGCTGCCACCACCCCCCCCACACCCCCCCCCCACACCCTCCTCCCCCCTCCCCCCCCCACCACTCCCACCGTGCCAGGCGGCTTCATCCGCCTGAGCGGCGTCTGGCGTGTGCAGGGTGAGCTGGCGATGTCGCGGGCGCTTGGGGACGCCCGCCTCAAACGCCTCGGGGTGATCACGGCGCGGGCCGACGTGGCCACCGCGGACCTGGGCCCCGCCCGGCAGCGGCCGCCGGGGCCGCGCTTCCTGCTGCTCGCCTCCGACGGCCTCTGGGACGCCGTGGGCAGCCAGGAGGCGGCGGACCTGGCGCGGGGACGCGCCGACCGACCGCTGATGGGCGCCCGGCGGCTCGCGACGGAGGCCTTCCGCAGGGGCGGCGGGGACAACGTCGCCGTGCTGGTGGTGAGGGTGGGCGGGGGCGGCCGCTGACCGACGGCGCCCGCCGGGGTTCACGGCGATTGAGGAGTGGGGTGGGGGTGGGGGGGGGAGGGTTTCTCACGGCACGGCCCCCGGGGGGGTCAAGAGGTCATCGCTATGTTGTGGATTCGCAGCCCGGCACCCCGCCCCTCTCCCTCCCCCACCGGGGTTCACGTGGGGGGGGGGGGGGGGGTCATCCGGGGGGGTTCCTCACGGACACGGAGGGGTCCGCTGGCCGGTCGGCGACCTTCAGAACCGCCAAGGTGAAGGTGGGATTTGGGGTCAAAAGGTCACCCCGATGTTGTGGATTCACACCCCGGCACCCCCCCGGGGGTGGAGGGGGGGGGTCAACCGGGGGGCTACCCACGGACGCGGCGGGGTCCGCTGGCCGGTCGGCAAATCTCCGGGACGACCGAGGGTCGAGGTGGGATTGGGGTCAAAAGGTCACCCCGACGTTGTGGCTTCACACCCCGTCCCACCACCCCCCCCCCCTCCGTCCCACACCGGGGTTCACGGGGTGGGGAGTCGTCCGCGGCGATGAGCAGACCGCTGCCGGGGGGGGGACACGGGAGACTTTCCCGCGGTCGGTCGGCACGACCTCCAGCACCACCAAGGGTCGCGGTGGGACTGAGGTCAAGAGGTCATCCCGATATTGTCGGTTTGACACCCCCCCCACCCCACCCCTCCTCTGCCCCTCCACCGGGGTTCACGGGGAGGGGTCATCCGGGGGGATGGACGGACCGCTATGGGGGATTCGGGCTGTCGGCGACATCCCGAACGGCCGAGGGTCAGGGTGGGATCGGGGTTGAAAGGTCGTCGCGATATTGTGGTTTTTCATCACTTGCACGCACGTGATGATGCACGTCATCACGTCATCACGTCATCACGTCATCACGTACACGCACGTCATCACGTGCGTGTACGTGTCGTACACTACTATACACTACACTTTACACTACTACACTATACACTACACTATACACTACACTATACACTATAAACTACACTATACACTACACTATACACTACTATACACTACACTATACACTACTATACACTACACTATACACTACTACACTATACACTACTATACACTACACTATACACTACTATACACTACACTATACACTACTATACACTAGACTATACACTACACTATATACTACTATACACTACACTATATACTACTATACACTACACTATACACTACTATACACTACACTATACACTACACTATATACTACTATACACTACACTATATACTACTATACACTACACTATACACTACTATACACTACTCTATAAACTACACTATACACTACACTATACACTCCACTACTATACACTACACTATACACTACACTATACACTACTACACTATACACTACACTATAAACTACACTATACACTACTATACACACTACTATACACTACACTATACACTACTATAAACTACACTATACACTACACTATACACTACTATACACTACTATACACTATACACTACACTATACACTACTATAAACTACACCATACACTCCACTATACACTACTATACACTACACTATACACTACACCAGTGGTTCTTACCCTGCGGTGCATCTCGCTACCTCCTAGGGATGCGAGAAGCCCTTTCTGGGGCTAGCGAGACATGGCCGGATTATTTTCGAGGGCAAATCATCGAAAACACAAATTTACCCACGGGCGGCACGTTACGACTTACTTTGTTCCATACTCTTTGCTTCTTTGCGGCAAAGTCATCATGTAGTAGGTAGAAAATAAAATAAATCACGACGTTTCAGGCGCACAACACGACCAAGCGTCCGTCATCAGGTTTGGTGAAAGCCGTGGTCCTGCTGCTGAGGCAGACCGGTTTTTAAAAAGGTTTGAAATGGTTTGTTAGCCCAAGGGTCGTAAAGAAGTGGCTCCGGGGCTGGCGATGTTAACGTGAGATATTAGCACTGTAACTTTAAGATAGGAGGGGAGCGGCCTCCTCAACGAGGGCACGGAAGTGGCCGTGTTAATGTGAGGGATTAGCGTGATGTTAACGTGAGATATTAGCACTGTAACTTTAAGATAGGAGGGGAGCGGCCTCCTCAACGAGGGCACGGAAGTGGCCGTGTTAATGTGAGGGATTAGCGTGATGTTAATGTGAGACATTAGCACTGTAACTGTAAGATAGGAGGGGAGCGGCCTCCTCAACGAGGGCACGGAAGTGGCTGTGTTAATGTGAGGGATTAGCGTGATGTTAACGTGAGAAATTAGAGGGCACGGAAGTGGCTGTGTTAATGTGAGGGATTAGCGTGACGTTAACGTGAGACATTAGCACTGTAACTGTAAGATAGGAGGGGAGCGGCCTCCTCAATGAGGGCACGGAAGTGGCTGTGTTAATGTGAGGTATTAGCGTGATGTTAATGTGAGATATTAGCACTGTTACTGTAAGATAGGAGGGGAGCGGCCTCCTCAACGAGGGCACGGAAGTGGCCGTGTTAATGTGAGGGATTAGCGTGATGTTAACGTGATACATTAGCACTGTAACTGTAAGATAGGAGGGGAGCGGCCTCCTCAACGAGGGCACGGAAGTGGCCGTGTTAATGTGAGGGATTAGCGTGGTGTTAACTTGAGACATTAGAGGGCACGGAAGTGGCTGTGTTAATGTGAGGTATTAGCGTGATGTTAATGTGAGATATTAGCACTGTTACTGTAAGATAGGAGGGGAGCGGCCTCCTCAACGAGGGCACGGAAGTGGCCGTGTTTATGTGAGGGATTAGCGTGATGTTAACGTGAGACATTAGCACTGTAACTGTAAGATAGGAGGGGAGCGGCCTCCTCAACGAGGGCACGGATGTGGCCGTGTTAATGTGAGGGATTAGCGTGGTGTTAACTTGAGACATTAGAGGGCACGGAAGTGGCTGTGTTAATGTGAGGTATTAGCGTGTTGTTAACGTGAGACATTAGCACTGTAACTGTAAGATAGGTGGGGAGCGGCCTCCTCAACGTAGGCACGGAAGTGGCTGTTAATGTGAGGGATTAGCGTGATGTTAACGTGAGACATTAGCACTGTAACTGCAAGATAGGAGGGGAGCGGCCTCCTCAACGAGGGCACAGAAGTGGCCGTGCTAATGTGAGGGATTAGCGTGATGTTAACGTGAGACATTAGCACTGTGACTGTAAGATAGGAGGGGAGCGGCCTCCTCAACGAGGGCATGGAAGTGGCTGTGTTAATGTGAGGGATTAGCGTGATGTTAACGTGAGAAATTAGAGGGCAAGGATGTGGCTGTGTTAATGTGAGGGATTAGCGTGATGTTAACGTGAGACATTAGCACTGTAACTGTAAGATAGGAAGGGGAGCGGCCTCCTCAACGAGGGCACGGAAGTGGCTGTGTTAATGTGAGGGATTAGCCTGATGTTAACGTGAGACATTAGCACTGTAACTGTAAGATAGGAGGGGAGCGGCCTCCTCAACGAGGGCACGGAAGTGGCCGTGTTAATGTGAGGGATTAGCGTGATGTTAACGTGAGATATTAGCACTGTAACTGTAAGATAGGAGGGGAGCGGCCTCCTCAACGAGGGCACGGAAGTGGCCGTGTTAATGTGAGGGATTAGCGTGATGTTAACGTGAGATATTAGCACTGTAACTGTAAGATAGGAGGGAAGCGGCCTCCTCAACGAGGGCACGGAAGTGGCCGTGTTAATGTGAGGTATTAGCGTGATGTTAATGTGAGACATTAGCACTGTAACTGTAAGATAGGAGGGGAGCGGCCTCCTCAACGAGGGCACGGAAGTGGCTGTGTTAATGTGAGGGATTAGCGTGATGTTAACGTGATACATTAGCACTGTAACTGTAAGATAGGAAGTGGAGCGGCCTCCTCAACGAGGGCACGGAAGTGGCCATGTTAATGTGAGGGATTAGCGTGATGTTAATGTGAGACATTAGCACTGTAACTGTAAGATAGGTGGGGAGCGGCCTCCTCAACGAGGGCACGGAAGTGGCTGTGTTAATGTGAGGGATTAGCGTGATGTTAACGTGAGACATTAGCACTGTAACTGTAAGATAGGGGAGCGGCCTCCTCAACGAGGGCACGGAAATGGCCATGTTAATGTGAGGGATTTAGCGTGGTGTTAACGTGAGAGATTAGAATGTAAGGGTAAGCTACGTGACTCTACCGAAAGAACCAAAGAATATGGATTCCTGCAGTCACGAAAGCTCCAAATCAAGATTACTTTGTTCCATCAAACCCTGTGTAGTTATTAACATTGTTAAAAACATTTTACCATCGAGAACCAAAGGGAGGGGTGCAAAGGCTGCAGTCAAGGTTAAGAACCACCAGTTGTTGTTGTTGATGATGAGCACGTGCAAACCAAACAAAAACACCTGTGAATTTGGGCCTCCCGTGAGACGCTTTGCAGCTCAAGCTGAAGGGTTCTCGTGCACCGGATGGACGGACAGATGGACCGGACGGACGTCCATCTGTCACGTGGTCGGGGAGGTCACGGTGGCTCTCGTGGAGTCGATCCGATAAGATTGAAACTCTCGCGCGAAGTTGTGTCGCTGACGGGGGGGGGACTCGCGCTGGAGGAGGGCCGGACGCGTTGATCGCAGGGTTAATGCGTGATCTCCGTGTGTCTCGTGCGTGTAACGCTGTGGAGGGGCGGGCGGTTCACGGTGGCTCTCGTGGAGTCGATTCGACATGAGCGTAACTCTAGCGGGAAGGTGTGTCGCCGACGGGGACTCCCGCTAGAGGAGGGCCGGACGCGTTGATCGCAGGGTTAATGCGTGAACTCCTTGTGGCCCGTCTTCTGTAACGTTTTGGGTTTTCTTCACGATAGCTGTCGTAGACCTCCTTTGCCAGAAACAAGATATAGGAATAGGATTTACCCTTTTAACTGGCACAAAAACTGACACCTTTATTCAAGGCATCATGTTTGCAATAACCACAACACAAGCAGTCAAAATGCAAACAAAAAAGAGACAACTCTGATAATAATGATGAGGCGCCCTCGTCGTCTGCTCCGTGAACGCTTGGCGCCACGAGCCGTGTCTCATTCCAAGACGCCCCTTTAAACGCTACTGCCTGATCGAGCGAATGCCATTTTAGCAGCGGCAATATACCGAATGGTACTTCTTGGCAACAGTGGCCTTGACAACAATGCTGTGGCTCAACCACAATGGCATGTCTTGACAACAACAACATGTCTTTACAACAGAATGATGTGTCTTGTTAACGATGATATGTCTTGACAACAGAATGATGTCTTGTTAACGATGATATATCTTGACAACAGAATGATGCGTCTTGTTAACAATGATATGTCTTGACAACAGAATGATGTCTTGTTAGCGATGATATGTCTTGACAACAGAATGATGCGTCTTGTTAACGATGATATGTCTCGACAGCAGATTGATGCGTCTTGTTAACGATGATATATCTCGACAGCAGAATGATGTCTTGTTAACGATTATATGTCTTGACAACAGAATGATGTGTCTTGTTAACGATATGTCTTGACAACAGAATGATGCGTCTTGTTAGCGATGATATGTCTTGACAACAGAATGATGCGTCTTGTTAACGATGATATGTCTTGACAACAGAATGATGCGTCTTGTTAACGATGATATGTCTTGACAACAGAATGATGCGTCTTGTTAACGATGATATATCTTGACAACAGAATGATGCGTCTTGTTAACGATGATATGTCTCGACAACAGAATGATGCGTCTTGTTAACGATGATATGTCTTCGCAACAGAATGATGCATCTTGTTAACGATGATATGTCTCGACAACAGAATGATGCATCTTGTTAACGATGATATGTCTTGACAACAGAATGATGTCTTGTTAACGATGATATGTCTTGACAGCAGAATGATGCGTCTTGTTAACGATGATATGTCTTGACAACAGAATGATGTCTTGTTAACGATGATATATCTTGACAACAGAATGATGCGTCTTGTTAACGATGATAGGTCTTGACAACAGTGCCAAGCCTGGCCAATAACATGCCTTGACAATAACAACAATGACATGCCTTGACAACAATGACATGCCTTAACAATAACAACAATGACATGCCTTGACAATAACAACAATGACATGCCTTGACAACAATAACATGCCTTGACGATAACAACAATGACATGCCTTGACGATAACAACAATGACATGCCTTAACAATAGCATGCCTTGACAATAACAACAATGACATGCCTTGACAATAACAACAATGACATGCCTTGACAACAATGACATGCCTTAACAATAACAACAATGACATGCCTTGACAATAACAACAATGACATGCCTTGACAACAATAACATGCCTTGACGATAACAACAATGACATGCCTTGACGATAACAACAATGACATGCCTTAACAATAGCATGCCTTGACAATAACAACAATGACATGCCTTGACAATAACAACAATGACATGCCTTGACAACAATAACATGCCTTGACAATAACAACAATAACATGCCTTGACGATAACAACAATGACATGCCTTGACAACAATAACATGCCTTGACAATAACAACAATGACATGCCTTGACAACAATGACATGCCTTGAGACAATAACAACAATGACATGCCTTGAGACAATAACAACAATGACATGCCTTGACAACAATTACATGCCTTGACAACAATGACATGCCTTGAGACCATAACAACAATGACATGCCTTGACAACAATAACATGCCTTGACAATAACAACTATGACATGCCTTGACAACAATAACATGCCTTGACGATAACAACAATGACATTCCTTGACAACAATGCCATGCCTTGACCATAACAACAATGACATGCCTTGACAACAATAACATGCCTTGACAATAACAACTATGACATGCCTTGACAACAATAACATGCCTTGACGATAACAACAATGACATTCCTTGACAACAATGCCATGCCTTGACAATAACAACAATGACATGCCTTGACAACAATGCCATGCCTTGACAACAATGCCATGCCTTGACAACAATGACATGCCTTGACAACAATGACATGCCTTGACAATAACAACAATGACATGCCTTTGCCCATCGATTGCCGGATATGTTTTCCCGCAAACTACTGTGTCCTGAAAACTGGAATTTATGAAAACAATAAAGTCGACTCGCCGTGCTTCTCCAAGTGTCGTCTTGGGGGGGGGGGGGGGAGGAGCTGCGGCAGAGCGGCCGGTGCACGCCGAGCCGCAAACCCCGGGGGCGGCCTGAGTTGTGGAATCTTTGCTGGTTCATCCCAGGCTTGTGTCTGTTGCTCGCAGTCGCTTTAAGATGTTTCTCTTGTTCTGCCCAGGGCCGACAGGAAGCGGCTGCGGGAATATCCGAAGCGGCCTTGCGGTCTTCCACACCCCGTGGAACTGAGCAACCATTGGAAAGATGTCATCGACCAAGTACCATCCGTAAAGGATGTCATTCCTGACTTACAGTACCCCGGTGTTTACAAATTGAGTTGTACCTGCGGTGACTGCTATATCGGGGAGACGAAACGACACATTTCTGACCGAATTCGCGAGGACAAATCAGATTTGAAACATGGCAGAACGAATTCTTCGGCCGTGGCTGATCATTGTCTCAACACAGCGGGTTCTCATGACATTGTTTTCTCCGATACCAAAGTTCTCTGCAAAACCTCCCGGTTATTACCAAAGATTTGTCCATGAAGCCATCCAGATATACAAACATGGACACAACTTCAACCGAGAGGATGGTTTTAAATTGAGCAACCATTGGAAAGATGTCATCGACCAAGTCAAACTTTAGCTGCCTTATAATTGCACAGCCATTTCCATTCCTACCAGTGGGTTGTGCTCGCTTTGGTGCAGTGCGCCACCACTTCCCCCGAACCCCCTGCAGCATAACAAAAGGCGGCTTAACTTAGCCTGCCCCCCTTAACCTGTATATAATCTCGGGTGTATCAGAGCTCACCACTTGATACAGCTATCTTGCTGTGACTGTTCCACCTGAAGACGGAAACTTGTGTTGCCTCCGAAACGTCGTGATTTAATTTAGTTTTCATTTATTTTAACCTACGTGACTTACCGATAAAAAAACAAAGTATGAATCCTTGCAGTCACGAAAGCTTCAAGTCTAGAATCAATGCCCTCTACGGGGAGGATTTTCACTTATCTGTTAGAGCTTTTGACAGACAACGAGACAAGAAGTCACAGCTCGTCGAGACGCTGACCTTCCTCAAAAGATGCCACGATAACAAGGTAATACCCATCGCTTTCACACTCGCATCTGCTGCTGTATCTTCACCGAACTCTGAACGGATTTTGTTTAATGCTAGCCTATCACTAATCTCGGAGAGAATAAGAGTACCCCGATTTGAACTCGATAGTTTAGACAAGACTCTCTTACAATCACATTTAATGTTAACACAAAATATGTCCTCTTTTGATTGGAACCACGTTGACAACATGACTGCTACCTCTGCTGATTCACTGTCAGTCAAATGCAAAGCTAACCTCGCTAAATTCAACCTCCTATCAAAGAAGAAGCCAGAACCACACATCACAAAACTGGATGTTAAAGTCGTTATTAATCAGAGTAACATCCAGATTTCGGACAATCTGAAAACGGTACTGACTAAAGGGCTAAATTTCGCTGTCACCACTAAACATATCAGTAGAGGATGTCATCTCTCAGGTCGATGTAGCCCTCAAAGGCATAGGACACATCCAAGCGGACGTTGCGAGAGCTGAAATAGCCACTATTCTCAAGAATGCCAAGAAATTCATTAGCAACATGAGCAAAAATGAACGCTCTGAACTCGCGAATTTAAAAAAGAGGGATGATATAGTCATCCTGTCGGCCGACAAGGGCAATGCCACTGTCATTATGGATAAAAACTCATACAACAACAAAATCCAGGACCTACGCAATGATGGGAGTTACTCAAAAATTAAAAGTGATCCTACTAACAGCCTAACGATAAAAAACCAACAAGATCATCACAAGTTCGACTTCCCTAATCGAACCAACCAAACGTCTCTCCTTAAAACCCTCAGCTGCAAGACCTCCCAGATTCTATGGTCTTCCCAAGATCCATAAATAAGGTACCCCACTACGACCCATCGTGTCCACTATCAACTCCCCTACCTATAAGCTGGCCTGTTTTGTATCAGATACTCTGCTTCCCTTCACTGGCAAGACACCTCAGCAGTAGTTAACCCAATTGGTTTCTATGGTCAAGGACATTGTACTATCTCCTGACGATATCCTCATCAGCTTTGATGTGGTCTCTCTGTTCACCAAGGTCCCAGTACCTGATACAATTACAATAATTGAAGATTTGGTCAAACAGGGACTGAACCCTGATGTACCTGCGCTGGTTAGGCAATTTACCTGTAATGGCACCTTCTACAAACAAAATGAGGATACCCCTATGGGTTCCCCCTTGTCACCAGTGATAGCCAATGTTTTCATGGAGAAATTTGAATCAGACGCCATCCAGACATCCATCCTTCGTCCTTCCCTGTGGAAGAGATGTGGATGACACTTTCGTCATTTGGCCACATGGCCTCCCAGCTTTGAACCATTTCCTAGACCACATCAATTCCAGACACCCATCCATCAAATTCACCATGGAAGTGGAGAAAGATGGCAAGCTGCCATTCTTGGATGTTCTGTTTGAGAGGAGGACTGATGGCTCTTTGGGGCATTCTGTTTACAGGAAGTCCACCCACACAGATTCCTACTTGAAGCCTGATTTCCACCACCACCCGGCTCAAAATAATTATCTCATCAAAACATTATACCATAGGGCTCATTGCATTTCTGACCAACACCACCTGGCCAGTGAATTAAAACATGTACATCTGGCCCTCAAGATGGACGGATACTCTGACCGTACCATCCGCCAAGCTGTTTCTCCCACCATACAGAAACAACCACCTGATACTCCGATCAAAATCATCACACTGCCATACATAGCAGGCGTTACCAAAAAGATTTCCAAAATTCTAAACAAACACAAGATCCAGGTCCGGTTCAATACAGTACACAAAATGCGTGATCTGATCCCATCCGTAAAGGATGTCATTCCTGACTTACAGTAGCCCGGTGTTTACAAATTGAGTTGTACCTGTGGTGACTGCTATATCGGGGAGACGAAACGACACATTTCTGACCGAATTCGCGAGCACAAATCAGATTTGAAACACGGCAGAACGAATTCTTCGGCCGTGGCTGATCATTGTCTCAACACAGCAGGTTCTCATGAGATTTTTTCTCCGATACCAACGTACTATGCAAACCTCTCGGTTATTACCAAAGATTTGTCCATGAAGCCATCCACATATACAAACATGGACACAACTTCAACCGAGAGGATGGTTTTAAATTGAGCAACCATTGGAAAGATGTCATCGACCAAGTCAAACTTTAGCTGCCTTATAATTGCACAGCCATTTCCATTCCTACCAGTGGGTTGTGCTCGCTTTGGTGCAGTGCGCCACCACTTCCCTCGAACCCCCTGCAGCATAACAAAAGGCGGCTTAACTCAGCCCTCCCCTCCCCCCCTTAACCTGTATATAATATCGGGTGTATCAGAGCTCACCACTTGATACAGCTATCTTGCTGTGACTGTTCCACCTGAAGACGGAAGCTTGTGTTGCCTCCGAAACGTCGTGATTTAATTTAGTTTTCATTTATTTTAACCTACGTGACTTTACCGATAAAAAAAACAAAGAGTATGTTGTCACGTTCTCACCAAGCTGCTTGGCAATGGTCTTGTAGCCCATTCCAGCCTTGTGTAGGTCTACAATCTTATTCCCTGACGTCCTTGGAGAGCTCTTTGGTCTTGGCCATGGCGGAGAGTTTGGAATCTTATTGATTGATTGCTTCTGTGGACAGGTGTCTTTTTATATAGGTAACAAGCTGAGATTAGGAGCACTCCCTTTAAGAGTGTGCTCCTGATCTCAGCTCATTACCTGTATAAAAGACACCTGGGAGCCAGAAATCTTTCTGATTGAGAGGGGGTCAAATACTTATTTCCCTCATTAAAATGCAAATCAATTTATAACATTTTTGACATGCGTTTTCTGGATTTTGTTGTTGTTATTCTGTCTCCCATTGTTCAAATAAACCTACCATTAAAATTATAGACTGATAATTTCTTTGTCAGTGGGCAAACGTACAAAATCAGCA